TTCTCAAAGGTGGGAGCCCAGACCCCAGACATACCCAATAAGCTGTTCTCAAACTTATCATCTCCTCTTCACTAAAAATCCCAGGTTCCTGACTGGTCACTAAGATTATGGAAGTTGCAATGGAGATGGGACAGGAGGGTCCTGGAAAATACAAATTACTTGGGAAAGAATTCCCTATGTCATCAAAAAAAAAATGTGAAAACTGGAAAGCAATCAGGCAGAAAGTAGGATTAGACATATATAAACATACATGCGTAGATGTATGTGTATGTATATACATACACATACACACATCTATATATATATATATATATATATATACATGCACATACACACACTATACTACGTGACCAAGAGCCATTCCCCAATAGATAAGTGGTCAAAATGTAGGTACAAACAGTTCTCAAAAGAGAGATTTCAAACTATTAATAGTTATATGAACGAACACACCAAATCACTAATAATAGAGAAATGTAAATACTTTACACCCTGCAAATTGACAGGGATAGCAAAAAATGGAAATAGATTTTAATGTTGGACAGGCTATGATAGATACCAATGCATTTTGGTGAAGCTGTGAATTGGTACAACCACTTTGGAAAGCAATTTGGAATTACACAAAGTAACTAAAATGTCTATACCCTTTGACCTAGAGATACTATTATTAGGCTTATGTCCCCAAGGAAACCACTGCTAAGAACAAAGTCCCCATATATACCAAAACATTTATAGCAGTATGTTTTGTGATAGTAAATAAGTGGAAACAAAGTAGATGCCCATCAACTGGGGAATGGCTAAACAAGTGTTAGTACATGAATGTAATGGAATATTACTGTGATGTAAATAATGATGAATGTGATTAAATACAGAGAAGCATTGAAAGATCTATGTGAACTGCTGCAGAGTAAAGGAATACAGACAAGGACTACAACAATATAAGTGGAAAGAACTACAGGTCAAAAATCAAAAGTGAATATGGGAAAATTATAAAGAACAAGTATGGCTCAAAAGAGTAGATATGAGAGGATACCCGTACCCCACCTCTTACCAGGTGTTACACATATTTTTTGGATTTTTTAATGTATTTCATCAGTTGTACTGATTTTTCATTTTATCTTTAAAAATAAATATTTGTTACATAGGAGGGGAAAACTAGGATGATATAAAAAACAAAACCTAACAGGAGTCACTGGAGTGATGCGATCAGTCCAACGGCAGTAGGGGAAGAGAGGAGCAGAAGACACCACTTCTGGTGTTCATTCCGATTTCGGCATGTTGTCTCCCCAATTAGAACACAAAGCACTTGAGGGCAGGTACCATTTTTTGCTATTGCTTTCTATCCCCAGTGCTTTTGCACAGTGCTGCCCACAGAGTGCTTAATAAATGCTTATTGATTGATTCTATCTTCATATTTTTATGTTTTGTTTTTTAACTGGTAAAACACTGGACAGCTCCACAAGGGGTGAGCCAGTGTAGCAAACCAGATTTTAGATGAGCTCACTTTTGGACAACAGCAGGTGCCAGAAGGAAGGAGTGTAGCAAGCCTGATGGGCTCAATGTGATACCATGAAGGTAAGATACAAATGCCAGGAATTCATAAATGACCAAACCATATTACCTGGCCAGTTTAGCTTCAATTCCAGGCTTGCAAATAGTAAAATTCTCCTCTAAGATCCAGAGATGATGACAAATCAGATGTACTATTCATTGCCAAGGGGATCTAGATTTTGTGCAAATCCCCCCCCAAAGACAAGATAAAGAAAATTGGAAAATCAATCTGCACAATCTATATGAAGAGGGAGCGACAGCAGGATTTGTGCATTTAGGGCACAGTGAGAGAAAGTAACTTTGGTAAATAAAGCAAAGGGGTAAATCAATCTGCAAACTCAACAAAATGGGGTGAAAATAAGCTAACCAGTGCAAGTCCAACACTCCTGGGAGGCTTTCTAAAATGGCCTCTAAGCTATGACTACAGCAGGTGAGCTGCTTAGAGTGCCAAGGGACTTAGGAGATCGAAAACAGTATGCCGAAAGAAGGGCACTGATGCCCACAAACACATAGGAACATAACCTCAAGGAATCCTTCACCGCTAACTGGAGAGGAATGGAAAGCAATGGTAACTGACCAATGGACGACATGACTGATGTGATGATAACATTCACACATTCTTAAGAAGCAAAACAGACAAGATGCTACCACCACGATCATCTGCAATTAAAAAAAGGGGGGAAGAATGTGATCCAGAACTGTCAAGGGGAGGAAAGTGATATTACCCTAAAACTCTAAATTCACTTCTAATACTGTCGTAACATTTGCCCATTCTTGATACTCCCTCCTCTCTTGTACCCCCTGATAATACACTTTGCTCAGCCAATTACTTCCATCACACCTCCTGATTTCATCATTTAAAAGGCTGAAAACCAAATAGGGAAGTTGCTAATCTTGAATTCCACCCCAAAAGGAGGAACTTGGGCAGGGGGGAGTAACTATTTCATCTTAACCTAGGGTACAGGAGTAGATGGCCAGACAACGTGTGCATGCTCCATAGATTTAGAGAGAGCACATCTTAAAGCATCCAGATAAAGAACAGGTGGGTGCCCTGTGGACTAGCATTGTACAAGTCAGCCCAGGACAAGGAAAACTCCTCAAAACATAAACTCTGAAGACAAAGAGAAACAACTCTTGTGAGTAGGAAAAGGAAGAGACCAATAGGAATTCACATAGAATTTACTGACCAACTAAGAGTTAAAAAAAAAAAAAACATGGAGGGAGGATGAAGCAAGAAGCATGTCATGGTCCTCTGAGAGTTCCAGGAGTGTAAAGGCCCAGCATGTGCCAAGGCTACCTACCAAAAAATAATGGTCTTTGGAATAAAAAGGACAAAATAAAAATGACTAATTAAAGATCCAAATCCACATTAAGTAGGATAAACTAGCCCAAGAACATGTAGCTGCTCTTCATGAGTTCAAGTTACCAGGCAAAGATGAACCACCGCCATCCCGGGGTACCCAAATGCTTTGTTTGGTGAGCCACTCTCAGTGGGCAAATGAGGTACAGTTGCATTAAGGGAAGAAAATGTAGCATGCAAACCGGAGGCCAGTGACCTTTCTGGCATGGGAAGACTTATAGCATCTAATGTAAAAGGACCTTTTTTGGCCGTCGTAAACAGCTTTGTGCTAAATGCTGAGGATACAAACATTTCAGTTGATCCTCACAACCCTGAGAAGTAGGTGCTATTATTTGCTCCACTTTACAGATGCAGAAACTACGGCAAACAGAGGTTAAGTGACTTGCCCAGGGTTACATAGCTAAAAAGTGTCTGAGTTAGAATCTAGGGCGTCCTGACTACGAGTCCAACCCAAATGTGAAGCTAAACCTAATTTCTGCCAGGCGGCTTTTCAGTTTCCACATAACTTTTAATTAAATAGGGGAATTCTTTCCTAAGCAATTTATGTTTCCAGGGATAGCAAACACTGAGTTAAGTTCAATTATTTCTAATTTCCCTTGTCTAGACTGTTCCATTGATCTACTTTTCTACTTTTAATCAGTATGAAATATTTTTAATGATTACCAATTTATAATATAGTTTTGAGGCTTGGAAGCACTATTCTCCCTGCCTTTATTTCCCTTGATATTCAACATCTTGTTTTGCTCCAAATGAATTTTATTATTTTACCTAAATTCATAAAATATCCCATGGGTAGATTGATATAACATTAAAACTATAAATTAATTTTAGTAGCAGTAATTTTTGTGATATTGGCATGGCCTACACAAAATATTTCTACAGCAATTTTAAGTTGTTCAAGTTGTTTCTCATGTAACAATAATATTCTATCACTCAGATACCGCAATTTTTTTTTTTTGCAATTTCCAGGCCATGCCACTCACTTTGGTCCCAGTTCTTTGCTACCACAAAAAAGTACCTCTGTGAATACTGAACATTTTGGTGTTTATAGAAACTGTCTTTCTGTCTCTAATGTCACTGGGGACATGTGCCTACCACTGAAATTTCTGGGATAAGGGCTGTGGCCAGTTTAGTCACTTTTTTGCACACATCTACATTTTTTTCCCCTATTGGTTCAACACATTCTTACCACCACCATTGAAATGTGTGATATTTGTGTTCCAATTCAATAAACATTTGTATGCCCTCCTACCTTTGATTAATATCAATAAAATATGCTAAATGAATGTCAATTATTATTATTAAATTACTATCAATTTGTTGTTCTTGTTCACTTGTTTCAGTCACAACTCTTCATGACTCTATTTGGGGTTTTCTTGGCAAAAATACTGGAGCGCCATTTTCTTCTCCAGCTCATTTTACAGAGGAGAAAACTAAGGCAAACAGAGTTAGGTGACCTGCTCAGGGTCACATAGCTAGGAAATGTCTGAGGCCAGATTTGAACCCAGGAAGATGAGTCTTGCTGACTCCAAGCCCAGCACTCTATCCACTGTGCCACCTACCTGCCCTATAAAATTACTATCAATACTAGACATATCTGCACCAAATAGTATGGCATCTAAATTCTTAAAAGAAAAGTTAAATGTGAAGTAATAGTAAAACTATACTAATGAGGGACCTCAACTTACCCCTCTCAGACCTAGATAAATGTAACCCCAAAAAATGAAAAAAAAAGTTAAGGACCTGAACAGAAATTTAGATAAGTTAAATATGACAGACTTCTGGAGAGTAATAAGGTGGATAGAAGAGAGTATACCTATTTCTCAACTGTGCATGGCACTTTCAGAAAAACTGACCATGTATTAGGACATAAAACTTCACAAACAAATGCAGAAAAGGAGAAATATCAAATGCATCTTTTTCTGACCATAATGTAAAAGAAATACATTCAATAAAGGGCCTTTAAAGCAAAGATTAAAAATTAATTAGAAAGTAAATGACTTAATTCTAAAAAATAGATGGGTGAAGACCAAATCATAAAAACAATCAACAATTTCATTAAAGATAATGACAAGAATGTGACAACATACCAAAATTTGTGGGATACAGCCAAAGCAGTACTTAGGAGAAAATTTATATCTCTAAAGGCTTTCGTCAATAAAAGAGCAAATCAACAAACTGAGCGTGCAACTAAAAAAAAAACAAAAAACAAAACTAGAAAACTAATAGATTAACCACCCCCAATTAAGTACCAAAACAGAAATCTTGAAGATGAAAGGAGAAACTAACAAAACTGAAAATTAAAAAAAAATCAATTAGCTAATAAATAAAACCGGAAGCTTTTTTTTAACACAATAAAATAAATGAGACATTAGGTAATTTGATTTTTAGAAAATTTAAAAAAATATAAATTAGCAGAGCAGGAAATAGAATACTTAAATAACCATATCTTAGAAAAAGAAATTGAACAAACCATGTAGGAACTCCCAAAGGAAAAGAAAAACAGGACCAGATGGTTTTGCAAGCAAATTCTACAAAACATTTAAAGAGCAATTAATCCCAATATTACACACTCTTCGAAAAATATATAGGAAAAGGAGTCTTACCAAATTCCTTTTATGACACAGATATGGTCTTGATACCTAAAGCAGGGAAAGTCAAAACAGAAAAAGAAAGCTATAGAATGACTTGCCTAATGAACATCGATGCATAAATTTTCAATAAAATACAGCATAGAGACTACAGCAATGTATTACAAAGAACAGGCTGCATTTATATCACGAATGCAAGACTGAATCAACATTAGGGAAACTATTAGTATAATGGACTGTATTAATAACAAATCAACAAAAATCATGAATATTTCAATGGAGGGATAAAAAAAGCTTTTTACAAGATATAACACTCATTCCTGTTTAAAAAAAAAACACTAGAAATCATAGGAATAAATGGAGCTTTCTCTAAAATGATAAGTAGTATGCATCTAAATACCAAGACTAGCATTAAGTGTAATAGGAACAAGCTTAGAGGCCTTTCTGATAATATCAGGAGTGAAGCAAGATGTCTATTATCATCATTACTATTCGATATTGTGCTAGAAGTGCTGCTTGTACCAATAAGACAAGACAAAATTTGAAGGAATAAGCATAGGCAAAGAGGAAACAGGATTATATGGCTTTGTGCATATGATACAATGGTTAACTTAGAGTCTCCTAGAGAGTCAACTAAAATAACCAAAAAATTAACAACTTCGACAAAGCTGCAGCATACAGAATGAACCCACACAAATCATCAGCTTTTCTATATATTACCAGTAAACTACCAACAATATAAAATACTTAGTCTACCTGCCCAGACACACACAGGAACTATATGAACACAGTTACAAAACGCTACACAAATAAAGGCATAGCTCAACAATTGGAGAAACTTCCAACTGTTCATGAATAGGCCAAGGTCATATAAACAAATACTACCTAGATTCATTCCCTCATTCAGTACCATACTAACTACCAAAGGGTTACTTTAGACATTCAGCTGGAAGAACAAATGGTCAAGAATCACAAGAGAATCAATGAAAAAAAATGGGAAGAAAACCAGGCAGTACCAGATCTGAAACAAACTATACTATGAAGTTGTATTCATCAAAATCTGGTACTGAGTAAGAAATTGAGAGGTTAATTAGTAGAACAGGTTAGGCATAATATACAGAAGCAAACAAACACAGTAACCTAGTGGCTGATAAACCTAATGATCTAAGCTAGTTGGACAGGAACTTACTATTCAACAAAAACTGCTGGGAAAACAGGAAAATAAGCTGGCAGAAACTACATATAGACCAACAGTAACACCACATACTAAGAGAAGCTCAAAATGGGCACATGATTTAGACAGAGAAATCATAAGCAAATTCAAGGAATGTGGAAGTAATTACCTTTCAGATATATGGATAGGGGAAGAATTCATGACCAAACAAGAGGTAGAAGGGCTCAAAGGAGGTAAAATGGATATTTTTAATTGCAAAAAATTTAAAAGTTCTTGCACAACTAAAACCAATTCCATTAAAATTAGTAGAGAACTGGGAAACTGGAAATAAATCTGGAACAAATTTCTCTGATAAATCGTATTTCTGAGATATATAGGGAACTAACTAAAATTTATAAAAATAGGAGCCATTCCCCAATTTACATACATTTCCATGTGTGTGTATAATATATATGTAATATACATTATACATAATATATATTATATATTATACATTATGTATAATATATATTATACATTATATATAATATACATTATACATAATATATATAATATATTATACATTATATATATAATATACATTATACATAATATATATAGAATATATTATATATTATATATAATATATATTATACATTATATATATAATATACATTATACATAATATATATAATATATTATACATTATATATAACATATATCATACATTATATATATAATATACATTATACATAATATATATAATATATTATATATTATACATTATATATAACATACACATTATATGTATAATATATATTATACATTATATATATAATGTATATTATACATTATATATATAATATATATTATACATAATATATATATGTTTTATATATATATACAAGCTCTACAAAAAGTAGCAAAGAATTGGAAACTGAGAGGAAGAGCTGAACAAAGTACGATATATGAATGTGATGCAATACTATTGTGTTCCCTAAGAATCTAAGAAATGATGAAGGGGATGGTTTCAGAAAAACCCAAGAAAACATCTATGAAATGATGCAAAATGAAGTGAGAAGAACCAGGAGACCAAGTTATGCAATAATAACAGAATTGTAAAGACAATCAACTTTGAAAGACTTAGGAACTGATTAACACAATGACCAACCACAATTTCAAAGGACTCATGATGAAATATGCTCTCCACCTCCAGATAGAGTTGATGTACTCGAGTATAGATTAGAGCATATTTCTTTTCCTATCCTTTTTTGGGGGGGAGAGGAACATGGCTAATGTGGGAATTTGTTTTGTATGACTAGACATATTTGTGATGAATTTTACTGTTAGCTTCTCAGTGAGTGGGGAAGGGGAAGAAGGAGGGAGAGAAATCAGAACTCAAAATAAAACTGAATTTTAAATTTTTTTTGAATACACAAGTTGTATTAGTTGCTTAATTTAGTCCAGGTTCATCTACTTTCCCCCAAGGTACTCCCTTGCTCCCCCTCTCACTGCCCACAGTCACAAGGTCAAAGACTAGACTCCCTTCTCCTAGAACTGAAAAAAATGGACACAAAGCTCAAAAGACCTTTCTCTTTACAGCATGGTCTCTCCCCAAATGCTATGAATTAAAAAAGTCTCTGAGATCATCCAAGAGCAACTATGGCAAAAGAGGCAGTGGCTAATGCTGGCAGGTCTTTCTGAATACCTCTAAAGTCCAACAGAAAGCCTCCCCTTCAAGACATGGTTGGCCAAATGGAACCACTTATGGAATACCTATACATGTGTCCCCAAGGCATTTCCCTTGAATATGATCCCAATTCTCCCAGAAGCAGGTTCCCTAGCATCCTCCAAATGGAAAGGTTGCATGGAGCAAGCACATGCCTTAGACCCCCATTACTTCCAGAACAGAAAGAAAGTCTGGTGTTTCACAGTTTTGGGAGCACATAATTACTGTATGTGGGCAATTAAAAAGAAACCGCAAATAAGGTTCTTCCTTTTAGCTTTTAATAAATAAATAAATGGCTTTCCAGTATGAGTCCTGACTATGTAATTAATTTTCATAACATTCCAATTTTAACATGCCATCATGAGAAAATCTGAATATATCACATTCACTGTTTGAATGCCTTTCTTCAGGCAATGTGGAAAATGGTCAGTAAGTAGAGCGGCTTCTGAAAGCTTTGTGGGTGAGGGGGATGGAAGAATTTATATAATGAAAAAGAAAACGATAAAGAAATATTAAGACAACCAAGAGTGGGAGATTTAACATGCTTTAGATGATGACTTTACTATTCTTTTCAAGTGAACACAACATTGAAAAGCAATACAGTATACTTAATGTTAAATCCCCTATCAAGGGCTAATGTTATATTATAGTTTATTATGTCATAATAAAGCCACAATTTTTATGAGGCCATAGCTTAGGAATGCCAGAGTCATGAAAATTTTACAGAAAATACAACTCTTTTATGTTGGTAATTTGGCCGTTGGCGCTTAATTTTATGCAAATGTTTATTTTGCCATTATGTATTACAAATACAGCCTCTATGAATAAGGTCTAAACAGAGCAAAGAGTGAACTTCCTGGGCCAAATAAGTGGGTATGGAAATCTCTGACAAGAACAATTGTCCAGCTTGGCAACCCTTCCAAAAGAATCATTTGAAGCAGATGGGGAAAATGATCTGTTGGAGAATCCTACCCATCCAAGTACAATCATGAGAAGCCTCATCTCCTGATTAAAAAAAAAAAATTAAGGGGCTATGGGCCTTTGAGAAATATTTATGAAAAACACTCAGATGTCCAACAGACCTTCCATATATTGATCAGGAAATAAAACCCATTTATGTAATATGAAAGCCAGGAAAGAATTCCATGGGAAACAAACAAACAAACACATTTGCCTAAGGAGATGAACAAGAACCTTTTGAAGATCTGATTCTCGTCCCATGTGCCTCCATGTCTGCTTCTAGGGATCCTTCAAGGACATCGAGTTTGGGAACCTTCTGTGTTAGGAATTTAAAGCCTTTCATAACCACCATTTCTTTCCTTCCTCAAACACCATTTATCACTGTTGAGTTGTTTCAGTCACGTCCAACTCTCTGTGACTCCATGTGGGGCTTCTTGGCAAGGATACTAGAGTAGTTGGCCATTTCCTTCTCCAGCTCATTTGAGACATGAGGAAACTGAGGCAAACAAGATTAAGTGATTTGCCCAGTGTTAACACTTCTAGTAAGTGTCTGAGGCTGGATTTGAACTAAGATCCTCCTGACTCCAAATCAAGCAAGCTGTCTACTGCACCATCTAACTGTCCTTCACACACTATAGTCCAGCTGAATTTAGCTTTTGGCTGTTTCTCACACACAGTATTCCATTTGTTGTTGTGCTCTCCCCATGCCTGGAATGTACTTCTTCCTCCTGGAATTCCTTCCTTCAAATATCAACTCAAGCGTGGCCACCTCCCATTGGAGGGACCTCTCCTGACTCCTCACCCCCAGCTAGAAGTGGTTCATGCCCTGCCTACAACAACTCCACCAATGAACCACTGGGCCTTGCCATTTGCCCTGCCACTAATCCCTCTTGAGAGACCTAACATGCTCAGTACTGGAACACCTATGCCATCTTGACTGGTGAATGCAACACAGGTTCCATTGTATCTGACTGACCCCAGCCATGATTAACACAGTTCCCTGGGCATTTTATTGCCATCCATCTCACTTACCACTGCACTCTCCAGGCCACTGGACCTCACCATTCACCCTGCCATAAGGGGACCATATACCCTCCTTCCCCTTCCAGCTCTGGGAAAGTCATTAAATTACTCAGTACTACTTTTGCTAATGGAAAGACTATTCATCAGTTCCCTTATAGCTCCACCACTCACCATCCCCTTGGCTTG